GCCACGCTGGGCGGCATGCTGAGCAGGAGGGGGGGAAGGGGGTGGGGGGGGGGAGTCACAAGAAGGAAGGGGCCCAGGGAGGGGTCCAGAATGGGAGAAGGGGCAAGAAAGGTTTGAGAAACAGGACCCTGAAAGCAAGGCGGTGCTGGGAGATGGGTGGGCAGAGGGACTGGAGGCTCTGGAGGGAGCGGGGAGGCAGGGGCGTGCTCACTCACCCGAACCAAGTAGGAAACCCCGGGTCCCATGACTTTGTCGTTGGGATGCAGCCAGCCCCGCGTGGGCTTATTGACAAAGCTCCCGTGGCGGGTCCACTCCTCGCCCCCCAGCTGGCCCCCTTCCACCCGAGTCCTGCGCCCGCCGCCTCCACTCAGCTTGTTCATGTCCTGGAGGAGGGGCAGGGGGCCTGAGTCTGGCGCGGCCGCCCCTACGATCCCCTCCCCATCCTCAGCCACCCTCCCTGGCTCCCCCTTTGGCCCCGGGCGCCCCCCGGCTGGGTTGGCCAGCTTCAGGTTGCTCATCCGGGGGAAGAAGGAGCACAGGGTGGTGGGACTCTCGTCCCCAGGCAGAGGGGGCAGGATAGGCCCCAGGGACGAGGCCGAGGGGGAAGGCGGCTCCTCCGGCGGGGTGGACCCCGAAGCCCCCTCCTCCAGCGATGACAGAGACTCATTCCGAAGCGGATTGTACTTGGGCTTGGGGGGCAGGAGATCCATGGCTGGAGTGAGAGGGAGGCTGCTGCCCAGCCTGGCCCCCCTGCCAGTCAGGGCAAGGGGGCCAGGCAGGGGGCATCCCCAGGCCCTTAGCCTGACCGGACCTCTCTGGCCCAGGGATCTCAAGGATCCTGGGAAGGGAGAGGGTAAGTGGCACCAGCGCCCACCCCCGCTCAGACCCAGAGAGTTTCAGGCCCCATCCCCGCCCAGCGTGGAGCCTCTTCTCCGGCGGAGAAGAGAACAGGCTGGACCCAGAGCTGCCTGGCTCCTCCCCAGGGGCGGGGAGCTAAGCCGAGAGCCCAATCCCGAGGACAGTGCTGACTCACAGGCTCTAAGGGGCTGAACCCCCACCACTGCCACAGCCCCGGACTCGGCAGGGACAGAGCTATGCGTGTCCCCACCCTGCCCCCAGACAACCACCAGTAATCGGGGAGGGGAGCAAAGTGGGGGTGGGAGGGAAGCATGTAGGAATGAGAAGGAAAGGAGGGAAATAAGGATAGGTCTGGATCAATCCAAACAGGACATGGGCAGGCCAAAGGGAGCAGGAAGCCACGGGAGAGTAGGGGGAATGAGAGAGGAAACAGAGGCAGCTGGGGGTGGAAAAGGGAGGGGATCCCTGAGCTCAGCACTTCCCTTCCTGTCCCGGTTGAACACTCAAAGTCCCCCCTCCCGCAGCCCAGGCCAGGCTACCCCCACCGCGATGGCACAGTGGGGTGGTGGCCCTAGGGAGCCTGGGCCATTAGCACCCTCTGCTACAACAGCTGTGGACAGGAGGTAAAGAAATGGGGAAAGGTTGGTAGCGGCCCCAGTGGACGCAGAGGGGCCAGGAGGAAGAGCAAAGCCTGTGTTGTAAGGGGAACGAAGTCCAACCTGGGTGGTGCCTCAGGGAACCACCTGGTAGGAGGTGGAACAGAGGACAAGCTGACGGAGCCTCGTTCTCTCCGTGGCACCCACCATGCCGAGGAGTAGCGGCCAGCACTCTTGTGTCTCCCCCCCACCTTCCACGGGCCTAGTTAGCAAAGCAAGCTGTCAAGGTGGGTGGGTGGCAAGACACTGACACTAAGGTCAGCTCCCTGAACGCACTCTCTTGCAGGGACCAGGGAAGGTGCGGGTGTCCGCCAGGGGCAGAATGTGACTGGAGGACGTGGGAGAGTGAAACAGTTCTCCCTCCAACAGAAGCGGGGGTTACGGGCCACAAAGGGACAGAGGGGGCAGATGGCAAATCTGTGCCCAGGGGCGCCAGGGATGGGCTGAGGCTGGACGCAGGGAACAGCCCCAAACCCATCCCTCCCACCCACAGCTTCCTGCCACAGCTCTGCTTGAGGGGGCGACGGAGGAAGATGGGGGGTGGGGGTCAGCAAACAAGTAGCAAAAGATACGCAGAACCCCCACGTTCACCTTGGAATTACCTACTCCCAAATTTACTTAAGATAAGGGTGCAAATGATATGATTATAATGATTAATAATGCCACCACTTAACTCTTTCACCTGCACTAGTCCTCAATCGAGGACAGCTTGGTCACTCCCGAGCACAATTCTATCACTCCACGTCCGAGAGAATGAGGAAAGGCTTCGCCACAGCCTCACACCCCCCACACCTGCCAAGACGTCCTCCAGCCGCGGGAGGCCGCGGAATCCAGAGGCCGGGAACGAGCGACAGGTGTGGGCGTTCGGAAGAAAAGAAGGAGGAAGTAGGGCTTTTTTAAATTTGCATAGGAAAAAAGGAGCCCGCCTCCCGGGAGTCCGGGTGGCCGGGTGTGGGGGTGAAGCCGCTGGTGGCTTCCCAGCCCAGCAGGGAGGAGGAGGAGGCAAGCAGCAGGAAATGGCGAAAGCCTCAGGAATGTTTCCAGAAGGGAAGGCCGGGCGAGCGGGCCCAGGAGGAATGCCCAGGCAGGAACTCTGCTTAGGGGGAGGGGAAGGGCCAAAGGAGCGGTGGGGGTTGAGGAGTCCCTGCAAAAGGGCCACTGTCCCCTCCACCCCTCCAAGCCGCTGTCCCCTGGCAGCGGACAGCGCTCGCTCCTGTCGCACCCACAGGTCGCACACCGACAAACCCATGGCCCTACCAGCTCCCGAGGTGCAGGTGTGAGACCTACAGCTGTCCCTGGGGCGGAGTCGGTCCCGGGAGGGGAAGCTCCGGTAGCGGGGCTGGGAACCCCGGAGCAAGCCTCGCTCCCCAAGTCCAGCCCCCTTCACGCGGGCCCACCCTGGGAAGGGGGCAGGGGGAGGCCAAGGGCTGCCTCTAACCTCTCACCGCTCAGAACCGGCGGGGACACTTTGACGTCCCACCTGCTGGGGCACGAGCGCTCAGGAAAACGGAGCCCGAGGCCCAAAAGAGAAAAGGGAACTATGTGAGCCAGGGTCTTCGGGGCTGAAGACCGCGCTTCCGAGGCGGGGACCGGGGTCGCCCCCCGAGCAGCCCCTCAGGGGGCGTGGCCCCTAGGTCGCGGGCACCCGAGACTTCCAGCAGGCGGGGTGTCCGCTCAGCCCGACGTGGTTGGGGAGAGGCGGGGCCTCGGGGAGGCGTGGCTTCACGCGTCCCTAGCGTTCTTTGAGGGGCGGCGCTCTGCTCTTTCGAGAGATAGGCTCTTTGATGGACAGGAGTTAGCGGAGACCCGTCGCGAGGAGGCGGGGTCTCGGGGAATTGGAAGGACTACCGTCGGGTTTCTTGCACTAGGGCTTGGAAGCATGTCCGGGGGTGGGGCTTCCAGGAAAGCTGGGCGGCAGGGTGGGGTCGTGGACAATAAGCAGAAAACAAGTCGGGGTTCGGGGAGCCCCCTGAAGTTGGGGGGTGGGACTTCCGGGGAGGGGGTCTCAGAGGGCGGGACTTATCCACGAAGACCGGAAGTGGGGTCCCGGGAGAGGGGTTCCGGGGTGGAGGAGCGGGTCACCTAAGGAGAAGGGAAAGGCCCAACTCACCAGGGCCTCATGGAGTCGCCGCACCGCACCGCGGCCCGATTTGGTTCCGGATCACGCTACTGCCTCCTTAGGTTGTCGTTCCAACTTTCTCCCCGGCCCGGCCTCCCTGAAGAAACTTTATTGCACTTACTTCCGGCCTCACTAACCCCTGACCCTCTACCTCGGTCCCTCCTTTACCCAGCCCACTTTCCCGAATCAGCCAATGGCAGCGCGAGAACGCGCACGGGGGCAGGGATAGCCAATTACAGGCGCATTTTTTACCTACGCTCGTTCTTGAGGAACGTGAGAGGTGCACTCCAATAAGGACTCGAGGAGAAGCGAATCTAAGCCAATCCGAGGCTTGAAGGTAGAGCTGTCCCGCCTTAAGCCAAAGGGACCAATGGGAAGCGCGGGCGGCGTGTTTGAAAGCGAGGCCAAAGTGGGTGGGAGCGCGTGCTGCTGGGAGTTGTTCGGAGGTTGGCGGCGCGGGGCTGACGATCCTCAGGCCGAGCGGTCATGTCGCACAAACAGATTTACTATTCGGACAAATACGACGACGAGGAGTTCGAGTACCGGTTAGTGCCGGCGCGGGGCCCACCGCGAGGTCGTGAACTTCGACAAGTGAGGGCAAGAAGAGTTAGGAACCGGAGCTGAAGCGACGGGACCGGCGCATGCGCGGGAGACCCGAGCTGCGGGGCTGGGGACGGTCGCTGAGAGCGTACGGCGCACGCGCCAGGGCCTGGCGGCACCGGGGAAAGTAGAAAGTGGCTGACCCAGAGTGGGCGTGGCTAGGGGCTCTAGGCTGACGGCCCCGCCCCCTCGGCAGAGCGAGTTGTGCTTGCCTTCTGGAGACTGCTGGTGTCGCGGCGACACCTCGGGGCCTCCGGGGCCTACTGAGAGGAGGTGGCCACGGCGGCGCGAGAGGTGCCCGCGGATTCCTGCAAAGGGGGCGTGGGCTTGTTTCAGGAAGGGGGCTTCCAGGACCTGCGAGGGGGTGAAGCTGGCCGAGGGCTTTGAGAAAGGACTTGGCAGGGGCCTGCCGGATGCCCTTCGAACATTCGAAACAGTTACGGAGCGCCTCCAGGTGTTGTGTTAAGTGCGGGCATGAGCCCTGGCCTCTGCTCCCCACAGCCCGAGACGTTTGTGGAAACGCTGCAGGCTTCAGAGAGAGGGCGAGAAGGGACGTGATGGACATAGGTGCAGGTTATGTGGGAGCAACAGAGCTCGGCACGGATGGTGACGAAGGGGGTCCTTACAGAGCCTCGGAGTTTGGAGTTAATCCAACTCCGTGATTCCAGGTTGAAAGATTCGGGAAGACCAAGGATTCTGCAAATGAGGGCATGATCCTTGAAACAACTTCCTAGTTCGTATCTTGCTCCCAAAATTGAAGAACGTGCAATGCAAACTTGCTTTGGTTGTGTTTCTTTTCCGCCTGGTGCGGGGCTGGGCCCTGTGGCCGGCTCGGTGCGTGCTGACAGGTGCAGATACAGGACCGCGGTGACGCCAGCTGCTTGGGGAAGACCCGCAGCTCCGCTGGGGCCCGTTAACTTTTTCCTCCCCATCTGAGCTAAGCGCTTATAGCATCTCTGTGGGACTAGGAAGGAGTCACGAGTTTCATCTCTCAGGAAGTTGTAGATCTTGGCAGTGGTATCTTGGTTTGAGAAACAGCTTGTCGTGAGGGGGTCTGTTTGGTGCAATGTGCCAGGGACTTGTTAGAATGTAAGCTATTTTCAGATACTTAGACCAGAATCATGTCTCTGGGAAGCATCTCTGTTACTAGCACGGGGAGGGTTTAGTGTATTTTCACGGAGCCTGATGAAGTGTATCAGGATTCGTGGCAGGGTAATACTTTTTTGCCACGAAAGGAGACTTATCCTTGGTTAGGAAGACAAGGCGTTTCCCCGGGGAAGTCTCATGGCACATCCCTTCAGAGTCAGGAAAATGAAATCGAGGATAGATTTAAAGGGTTTACGTTGACAGTTCATCCTTTGTGAGGGCTCTTCCACACAGCGCTCCGTAAGAGGCCTTTCTTCACCGATCCTTCTCAAAACTACCTCTGTTATTAACACTCTGCTATGGGGCTGCCATTCTGTTGATTCCGAGTAATCAAGTAGGGGACTGGGCTCCAGGAGGCCAGAGGCAGTGCATCAACGGTGCCTGGAAGTTAGGTGCTCATTCGCTTGCGTTGCTCATTAATTCGTGCTTTGTGATGTACTTGCAGGAGGATTTGCAGAACTTGGCCTTTAATTCTAGCTGCCTTTACCCCACAATAAATTTCTATAAACTCCCTACTATCAGAAACCAATTTTTCCTTTTTTTCCTCTCTTGGCTTTGTATGTAAGCACTTGTCTAACGGACTGTCCCCACTACTGATGGGAGTCCCCCCACCTGTCCATGTTTCTGTTACAGGCACGTCATGTTGCCCAAGGACATAGCCAAGCTGGTCCCTAAAACCCATTTGATGTCTGAATCTGAGTGGCGGAATCTCGGCGTTCAGCAGAGTCAGGGATGGGTCCATTATATGATCCACGAACCAGGTTGGTGCAGTGGCTGAGAGCAATCATACGGGTTCCTTCACTGAGGGCAAGAAAGAGCGATAAGATCGCAGAACCCAGAGAAATCAGGGGAAGGTAACGGTGGTTTATTGGTTCCTCACCAGCCGTCTAGAAAAACTGAAGTGACCAGAAATAAGAGTAAAGTATCAGAGGGGAAGTTCAGAGACAAGGTGTCACTGAAAAAAACCCCTTTTAATCTCTAACTTCGTCCGAGCGTAGTCTTTTTTTTAAGGCCACATATACCCCGGAGGAGGCTGTGGCTCCTTCGTCATTCTCCATCAGAAAGTGAGTTCTTGGATGTTATCCAAATAAGCCAAGGAAAGTGTATTTCTTGATAAGACACCAGACACCAAGCTGCCAGGCAAAACTAATAAAGGGCTCCCCCGGGGCTGCACAAACATAGCAAAAGAACTGATACTAACAATTCCGTACTTGGCAGACAGGCCCAGCTTTTGGGTCTGGTTCTAAGGCCGCGTGCTGACGTCGTAATTTAGTCGTGAAGATCTGATCGCTGTCTCTGGGAGGTGCGGGTGGGAGACCGTAGGCTGTGCGCAGACGAGTGTGAGCTTGCCTCTTAGGTTTCACTCGCTCTTTCAGAACCTCACATCTTGTTGTTCCGGCGACCACTGCCCAAGAAGCCAAAGAAATGAAGCCGGCAGCCACCTTTCGGCCTCGGGCTTCGCACAGCTGTCCTCACGTGCTAACGACATCTTCGGGTGACATTATTCCATTGCCTTCTTGCTTCCCACTTTGATATTGAAAGGATGTTCAGACTGTCTGTGCTGGTGACCGCTTCGCCTGAGCCAACAGCAGCACGGCCCAGCCGGCTGAGCGCCGTTCGGGCTGCAGCCTCGGCCGAGCGTGACCCCAGAAGCCCTGCCGAGCTCTATCCTGCAGAACACACTTGGTAGATGGAGGAAGCGGCTCCTCTAAGCATAAGGCCGTGGCAGGGATTGCGTAAACTTGCCGTTTTGTTTCTTCCTGCCAGGTGTTGTATGTTGTATGGTGGTTTATGTTTCATTGTACTGGAAACTGTCCGTTTTATTCAAGAAACCTGTTCCGTGTTAAAAAGCCTTGATTAAAGAGGAAGTTTTTACGATCTGATTCTTTGCTTGTCGAGGTCTCCCCTCTTGGGGTCGCTGCGAGCAGCACCCTGTTTGTGGTTGTGCCCCCTTCGCTTAGATCATGAAGCCCAGCTCTTTGCTAATAATGAGGGTCGTTTCAACATTCGTGTAACCGGTTTTTAACCTACTTCAAGCAGACTTTCTGTCAAACATCTGAAACGATATGCTGCTCTATTAGCCTGAGCTAAAGGCTGTGTGGAGACATCACCTCAGGAAAGCAAACGAACTGTTTCCTACGGCCCGGGATGGCGCCTTCACTGTAGTCCTGGTATCTGAAGGGCACGAGAGGGTGAAGGGAGGAGGCCGTCAGCCAGAGGCTGCCCTGTGCCCCCTTCCTGCCGGGCCCAAGGCTCAGGCACACCTGGGGGCAGGAGAGGGGGACGCGGAGGGCAGCCCCTGCTGTTTTGCCTGGCAAGTTCTGGTGCCTGAGCCGACCCTGAGAGATGTTGACTTAATTGGTCTGGGGTGTGGCCTGGATGTGGGAATTTCAAGCATTTTTCTGCAGGTAGCTGGAGTGCTAACCTTTGGGGAAACAGGTATTAGCTGTAGTTGTTTGAGAAAACATTTCTCCAAGGGGCCCCTGGCTGGCTCAGTCGGTGGAGCATGCAACCCTTGATCTCAGGGTCGTGAGTGCGAGTCCCATGTTGGGTGAGGAGATTACTTCAAAATAAAACCTTAAAAAAAAAA